ACGTTTGTACGTACGTACGTAAATTTCTTAGGTTAGCAATCTCAATAAAGTGAAGGATCTAGAAATCTCCATCTTTTTGCAAGAATAATATGAACTTAAATAGCAAATAATCTATTATTAAGATACGCTGCTATTGAATTTAGCTTACCTAATATGCTAATTGATCTTTATTCTATTTGGAGTTTTTAGATTCCCTGCATCATATGTACGTAAGTATTGGAATTGGAGCTATATGTCCAATGTTCCGGTTTATAGGTCTAGTGGGAACAAAGTTGATCAAGTGCCCAGAACTACGTACAGTATATGCATAATATGTATGTATAATACGTTTAGGTAGCTGCGCAGTGTAGCCATTTTCGAATTTATCTGCTAATCATTTTGTATGTTAACAAATTTGTTAGTTATAATTACTATTGTGGCATCATGCAAATGGCGGGCAATAAAGTATTAATAATTGTTGCATGTTGCATTTGTGAAATTTGCAAATCATCAAAAAAAAAAAAAAAAAAAGAAATCACTATATCGGAGTAGTTTTAAGAAATCCGAAATTGCAAGTCATTTCTCTTTTTTTTTGATGATTTGCAAATTTCACAAAATTATGCAAACCACGATAAATTGGCATTAGAACTATAACATTGTTAAATCCGGATCTAACGGATCTAATGATTAAATATAGATATAAATAATTAACGTCAAATCCGAATTCAAGTATTAACTCTTCACAACAAATCAGGGTTTAGAGGCGATCTAACCTAAATTGAATTTTTATTTGATTGTATTCACAAGTGAGTTATTCATAGTAAAAATTTTAGCGTATGTTATAATTTGGTATAGAGTTCCAATTAGGGATGTAAGGTTAATTTACACACGTACTTAACTTACATGTATGGTAAATTATTATATAAATACAATAAATTAACCAATTAGATTAATATATATACTGTACTATCATATGATGCAATAAAAAATATAGTCCTTTAGAACGATGCAGATTATAAGCCACTAAGCTCTACGAAATAACTTTATTTAAATTATGTTATTGAAAAGTTAGCAATTTAGCTTTTATTTATGAAATTTATACGTATAGCTCTAGAGTGTTCTTTTTATAGTAAAAATCCTATTTATATTATATATTATTTACTTACATAATTACACGTAAGTTACATGCTTATACTAACTTACATTAATTAAAAAATAAAAATTGCTATAAATTTACAACCTTAGTTCTAATCTGGTTAAATCCGTCATGCGTTTATCCGTATGATTAGATATCAGGTATTTGGATAATTATCCAGATATCAATAGTAAAAATGGATATAAAACGGAATTCAATCCGATTGATAAAATGGACAAACTGATAATGGATAGGAACACTAATTTGGTACAGCTCTATACGCGGAAATTTCACATACACTGATTCCCTACTCCAATTTAAAACTGCTATCGCTACCGTTATTATACTAACAATGCATACACATACGTATCAAGTATAATGTATGTGCATACGTCAAATTATCACAACAATCAAAATTTGAGTAATCATTGATATTTACACATAAAAATCGTCTCTAAGCCGATTTGCTGTGAAAGAACTCATGTCTATTATTGTCACTATATGTCTGAAATAGATTCGTGAGTGGACTGAGGCAATTTGCCTACATATTTTAAATTCTGATTTTACACATACAGTATATCCGGATCTAATGGCAAAATCCGATCTAATGGTTAAATCCGGATCTATTGATTAAATCCAATTATTAACTCTAATTGACTTATATTAACAATATGTATGTACTGTACGTACGTGCGAATGTTTTTAAGTTCATACTCCTTTATGACCCTGTAATAGTTAACACTGCATGAATGCGCATGAATGATAATCGAATTTGTGCAATTTTCACAGGATCTAACAAAAGTCATTACATTCGAAAAAATTTGGGGAAGATTTTTCTATACCTTCAATCCTAGTAAGGAAATAATAATATGTTATCAGTATATCAACCAGTTTTCGGTAGGCGAGAATTCACGGCTAAAAATCATACTGCAACTCAATGCAACTTTTCAGGATGTCATTTCTATTCTGTCTAATTTCAGTTAGTTTTCTAGATCGCTTAGTTGCTCAATAAATAAACTTTGGCTTAACTGGTTTAGTAATAATTTAATTAAGAGATTTGGATATTATAAAGTTTCACAGTGTGAAGGTTTACTTGTTACAAACGCCATCTGAACTTTATCAAGACACTAATGGAAGTTTTTAAAAATATTATGAAATACCCGTTTTTATTGTTGTACGTATTATAATTCATTAGACTAAAAAAAAATTTATAAGATAACAATTTTATATAATAAATTTTCGATTTAATCAAAAGCGACTGCAATATTATAGGGACATATTAACAACTCTAGATATTTTCATCAGGACGTACCCATCATTAAGTGATTACAAATTGATTTTATTGTTTTGAGTGGCACGTTCTTTGATGAGGATATCTGAAATTCCCCAAAAAAAATATCTCTCAGAAAATTCGACTCCGTTTGAAATTTATTGATATTATACGTTTTTATGATAATGATTCAATGAAAAATTCTATTTTACATCCGTACGTACGTACAAATATCGTAATGAAAATAGCATAAAAACCCCGGTTCGGAAAATCGACTCCATTCCATTTTATCTAGGTAATGGTTATCAAATTTAGTAATAATAATAAATGGTAAAAGGGGGACCCACAGCAAAAAGGTGGCTTCGAGCAAACCAATCAGGGTTTGAGATTTTAAATAATAATAAACTAATAGATATCTTTCTAAAAAAAGTTTTAATTGTCAAGTATATTAATAAAAAAATGTACAATATAGCTTAGCTAATTTTGTTTGTGATTTTCTCAAGATCACATGATTGACCTAAGCACATTTGTTATGTCTAATAATAAAAAATTATATATATGACATATATTCAATTTATCTAACTTGATACGTAAAAGTTGACATAAAATTAACAATGAAACTTTTTTTAATATTTCTTTGCTTATTCATAATATCAACGAAATCACAAAACATTACTTCTAATTACACGATTTTTAATTACACAGAGAGTACATCAGGAACTGCATTCCCTCACAGTCAACCTCTTGTATTAGGCGTTAATGCTTACGATGATGGAACAACTCTCGTTCTCATTGCACGTGCACAAGATAATCCAGCACAAGCTAACTCTTGTTCAGGAGTGAATTTAGAACCGACATTGCGTATAAGGGTTATTAAACTGGATGGAACTGTTATTGAAATTAATTACCGTAACATCCTTGATCCACTAAATTTCTGTATACTTAATGATACATCTGGTAACCAATTAGTTCCTATTACAATATATGCTTTATATGATCAGCTCTTCCTAGTAAATTATGTGAAAGCTGCAAATTCATCTGACCCTACAACTTATCAGGAATGGGGGCAAGTCATCGATTGGAATGGCAAAAATAGAAGGTTCGAAAATGACTATAATTTACCATACGCTATAAATATTTATATTATTTCATAATCATTTTGTAAATTACCAGTGAAATTTATTATGGTCCATCTCATGTTAATCGTAACAACTCTTGGAATCCACAAAGTGCAATTCAGTTAAACGTGAATAAGAGACTCGGATTTCTTAGATTGGGTTCTGCAAGAAATAGCAATTTTAAATGGGATCAATGGCAACAGTATTCAATGTAATATTTAACTTTCCTAAAATCTCATAGTCATTATTATTTTAATTATAATCATTTTAACCATAATCATCTTCATATAGCGATGACTCTGGAAAGTTATCATTGATGCAAAGTAATAATTTTTCAATTGTTCCGATAGATTCAATCTCTTCCCAGAGTACTATAATGCCAACTATTGATGGTGGCTATGCTGTATTGAGTGTCAATTCTTCAGATAATATCAGCAATGATTCATTACTAGCCACACGGGGTGGGCTATATGCGACCTTTTTATCCTACAACCAGTCAATTCAAACTACGCAAGTTCTCCTATACCAATTTACTTTTCCCAATATCAGTTTTAATGGACTTTATTGTGCCACAGCACCCAAAGGAATTGGTTATAGATGCTTAATTGCCGTGAGAGCAAACAGTACGGAATTAGATTATATCAATGTTGATTTTTTAACTTCTGCATCAGTGATATCAGTCGGTTTAATGCCTAATAATAAAATATCTGGTCTAACGGGTTTGGGAATGCAAGCAATGCCATTCGGTGGTTATATATTATATATAATGGCTAATAATAGTTATGATATTTACCCTTTTGACGGAAATGACAATCCTTTAGATCAACTGGGACCTTTTAATACAAATCCTTATGCTACAAATTTTATTGTGGATGGTTATAATCCAAATAATTTTAATGCTGCAAATTCTATTTTGAAGAATAATAACACTTTTTTACTAGCTTCACCTTATTCAAATAGTGAAAAATCTTCTTGGTCTCTGCTCGTTATTCCGTTACCTACAGTTTATAAAGGTAAGTTTTATTGCTACATGATAATCTGCATTTATTGCATACAAAATATTTAATATTTTACGATGTTGATATTTAGATAATGGTTATGGTAATCTTCAAATAACCAAGATTCTTCCACTCGTCAATAGCACTGTTGATTCATCGACAACTACTTTAAACATTACCTTTAACAACACTATTATTCCGTCAACCGGCTATATCTCCATCTATAAATCTTCTGACCAAACCTTGAGACAAAAAATTCAGGCAATAAATAGTGATTTCGTTAAATTAATGGATGATAATAAAACCGTCAACATAAAAATCATCGGCAGTACATTTAATCAGTACAATGAAATTTATTATGTGCAAATGGATGCCAATTTTGTTAAAGATGAACAGCTCTATGAACCATTATCTGGAATTGATGAGAAGACTGTGTTGTATACTTCGAGTAAATCCTTTTGCCATTATTTTTACTTATTTATTTGTATTTTTTTTTTTTTATGTTTATTAATAATACCTATTTTTTCATATTTACTTATAAATTAGAATATAAGGCACCTTACGCAGGTAATAAAAAATAAATATAAATTTTTTGCAATTTTAAAATTTCTGTACAGCCATATTTAAATTTTATCTTATATTTCATTGTAGACTCTGCTACTTGTTTAGCTCAACTTACTGTGAATGCAACAAACAGATTTATATCTTCATCCGCAAATAATCAATCTAATTACTTTGAAATTTTGTTACAAGAGATTTCTGTAAAAATACCAATCAGTCGTAACCGTCTAGCCACAGATGAACATTTTCAGTATGTTCAGAGCATATCTGGCACAAATCTTCAATTTTCTATTCAGATAAGTTCATCATCAATACAGAATGATATTTCTGTTCCAGGGGTGATATCAAGTTTAGATAGTATGATTAAGTATCAAAGTATCAATACTTTTCAATCTGGTTTGACAAGTGATTTAGATCCAACTTATGGGTTTAAGCAAAAAAGCAATTTATTTGGTCAAAATAAAACGGCAATTACTTCTTTTACTGTGTTTTCTATAGTGAACATAGTATTATATGGCATTTCTCAATTTGCCAAGGTATTATTTTTTTATATTTATTTGGTTAACTTTTTAATTATATAAATATTAAACTCTTTAATTTGACAGAGTGATGACGAACTGAGTGCAAATAATAGCATTGCGGTTAACAATGGGCTAAGATTTCTTAATGGAGTTACCGGTGGATTTTTCATTATCTCTCACTCGTATTTTTTCACTCACTTTTCTTTTGATGATGTTAATAGTAAACCGGAATTCAGTTTAACAAGGTACTTACTTTATTCAATGTCTTTGATAATTAAAGTAATTCTAAATTACTAATAATTATTTTTTTTCTGTTTAAAAAAGTAAAATCATCTGGGCTGTTCCAATATTTATAAATGCGGTTGTGTTTATATGTATTAAATGCAAGAAAGGATTTATTAAAAATTTCAGACCAGAACAATATATATTTTTGATTTTAGCATTATATGACAGTGATACTTTATTAATTATAAACAAAGTTGAAAGCATATTTAAAAAGGAGTTTCAGCTGACAGCTAAGATTTTGGCGTTTGCTGATCTTATTATTAAAAATGTTCCATTAATAATTCTTCAGGTAACGTTTTTTTTATTGTTAATAATTGTTTATTTTTTAAAAAATATAAATATTTTCTTTACTAATTAAATAATTATGATTCAAATCCTTTGCTTTTAATAATATTTATATAGATTATTTATTTCAAATCAATTGTAACATATAGCATTGTTCCATTATTTGTACTTGTTACAACTATTTTTAAGATTATTCTTGGTATTATTCGATCTATAATTGAAATATTTGCAGTAAGATATAGTGAAGAAAGAAATCAAAGTACGTTTCAAGAAAACAAGAATAAGAAAGATAAAAATACTCAAATACAATTTGAAAAAATTTAATAATACTGTATATTAGAATTTCATTATTAAAATATGTATAATTTTTTATTTTAGCTTGTAATAATAAAGATATTTATATTTAGTATTGATTAACTTTATAAAAAATATCTAAAATTCAAAGCTTTTAATTTTTGAAAATAATCAAAATTATTATAAAAATATTATAGCAAAATAAATATTATATAAATTTATTCGTAAAAACCTAATTATACAATATGTGTAAATAGTATTAATTTGCAAATACATGTAGTATATTAAGCAAAGTTTTTACAAATAAAAAATTAAACCTTTGCTTATAATTAGAGTAAAAGGTGAGATTTGACATTGGAATAAAAGTTATTTATATCAAAATTATGCAAAAAATTTTTTTTGTTAGAAGCCATAAGATAGTTCATAATCAAAATCTTGAGAAACAACAATATTTCACATATAATAAATAAATTGACAATTAGGTTTAGACCACAAATAAGTTTTTAGATTAACTTAGTTATATGTCTGAGCTTTTATTATTTATACTAGATTTAAATTATAGCACCTTTTTCAATTATGTAAAAAGTTTTCATTAAGTTTAATAAAGATAAGAACAAGAAAGTCTCCTTTAAACATAAATTAAATCAACACTTATTAGCAGGTATTATATAAAAACTATCTCTAAATAATAAATACTTTATCAAATATATAAAATAGTAAATAAACTAACTAAAATAGAAAAAGGACTTACTCAATACCAAAGTACCAACACAAATACAACTCTTTCTGTCGATCACTTGTACCAAAATTTTAACAAACAGAGAACACCACTTTTGTTGGAGAGACATGGCCTTACAGTGGTTTGTCTGGAGGTTAACTGCTTTTCTAGGAGACTCCTCTATAAGTTGACATTCAACATACAAGCCAGAAGCATTATTATACAAGATAACTGGCTGTGTTGTACTCTTGTATAAAAAATTCTGGTGGAGAGACTGTTGGGCCTCTGATGTCAATAAAACTTTGAGGCTATTACTTCAAAGAAGAATACAGGGGAAACAACAGAAGTTCTGGACTCCTAATATGATTTTTGAAAATTTTGAAAGTACCTGCAACAATATACCTTTTACCATATTTCTGTGGGTTTAAAATTTTTTTAAAAATTTTAACCAAAAAGTAGAAAAATCAGCAGTGTTTATTCTTTTCAAATTAGGATGCTTCTACTGAAATGGAACCTCTCACGAGCTTATTTGGATTTTGCTTTGCCAAATAAACAATAATAGCAATACTGTTTACAGTATAGAGATTAGAGGGATTATGTATAGAAATTTTTTAATGTTAGACATTTTTTTTCTTTCTACTTCTTTTATTATATATAATGTTAGATTAGATTTTTTTCTATACAAAATTATATAATTTTTATAGCTGGATACAGGCAATAATAGTGTCGTAATGGCCATCTTTTTTTAGCCTTTTTCTTTTTCTTGTTTTCTTTTTTAGTTTTTCCTTTATTTCATATTTGTTTTTTTTTTGTTTTTTGTTAGTAGTTCTTCTACCTAAAAGGCTAGAAGAAAAAAGTTGGGAAAGAAAGCAGTCATGATGGGCTGGTAAACCAGGTCAGTAATCTGAAAATAGGTTAGTTAAAGTGAAGTAAGCTGAATCTATCTGGAGAGATTGAACTTATTTTTGGCAGATTACAAATAGGTTCAATCAGAAACTGATGAGCCATATTCTAGTTTTTTTGCCATAAGGCATGGTGTAATTTAAACAAATCCTTCAATAAATATAGTACTTCATCAATAAAGCTGACATGTAACATGGCTGTCAAAAAAAAAAATACCAAAGTACCTATATACAACCTGTTATATAACTAGGGGTAAGTTAATAAAAATCAAGCAAATTTTTTATAATAAAGTTTTTTCATAACTTTAAACAAGAATAACTTAACAAAAACTTGACAAAATTTAATAAAAATTTTTTAAAATTATTTTTACAAACTTGTAGAATTAATTTAAAAATTTTTATTAAATTTAATTAAGTTTTTGTTAAGTTATCCTTGTTTAAAGTTTTAAAAAACTTATTAAAAAA